AAGGAATCACTAATTAATAATCTTGAGGTTAGTGATGAGCTTGGGGAAAGCAATCACAAATCACTTATTTTCAATACATCATGGAATTACCCAGAAAACTGCACTCAAGTCTCTGTCCCAGACTTCCGCTTGGCTGACTTAATGGGACTGAGAAATTACCTGGGTGGGCTAAATTGAGATAACCTGACTATGGGTCAGGTAGGTGGTGTTGGTTGCCAGTATGACGTATTTCAGAGCATTGTTCTAGCTGCCAAAATAACTTTTGTTCTGAGTGGCGAAATTAGATCTAACAAAAATGATCCCAAATGGATAAACAATAGATTAAAACATCTCATTGGTCAAAAGAGAGGCATATACAGGTATATCAAAAGAGGAGATGGGCAGTTAAGAAATCAGTATATTCAATTAAAGAGAGAGATAAAAAAAGGAATAAGAAAAGCAAAAAGGGATCATGAGGCTAAAGTTGCAAGGGATTCGAAGACTAACCCAAATGGGTTCTTTCAGGTATACAGAAGTAAGATTAAGGATGAGATAGGCTCACTTAAGAGCAACTCAGGTCAGATTACTGACAATGATAAGGAAATGTGTGAACTTTTCAACACTTACTTCCTCTCAGTTTTTACTCAGGAAGATACTAACAAAATTCCAGAAATAATAAATTATGTAGAACAGGACGATAATAAACCATGCACAATTGGGGTAAGTAGTGACATGGTCCTCAGACAAATAGAGGAATTAAGATCTACCAAATCCCCAGGCCCTGATGAACTGTTTGCAAGGGTTTTAAAGGAATGTAAAGAGGAACTTAGCATACCTTTGGCTAATCTTTTTAATATAGTATCACTACAAACTAGCATAGTGCCAGACAAGTGGAAAATGGCAAATGTAATAGCTATTTACAAAGCAGGTGGCAGGTCCTCAGCTTCAAACTAAAGACCAATAAGCTTTACCTCCGAAGTGCGAAAATTTATGGAATCAGTAATTGCTGAGGCAATTTGTAGCCATCTTGAAAGGCATGAATTGATTAATGAATCTCAGCACAGTTTTATAAAGGGGCATTCCTGTCTTACAAATTTACTAACTTTTTCACTAAGGTATTTGAGGAGGTAGATCATGGTATTGAGTATGATAGTGTGTATGGACTTCAGTAAGGCTTTCGATAGAGTTCCACATCAGAGGCTATTGAGGAAACTTAAGGCACGCGGAATAGGAGGAGAAAGTTTTTCCTCGGTAGAGGCATGGTTGACCAATAGGCAGCAGAGAGTTTGTGTAAATGGGGGCACGTCATAAGCGGTGTTCCACAGGAGTCAGTGTTGGGCCCCTTGTTGTTTACAGTTTACATAAACTACATAGATGAAGGAATAAATAGTGACATAGCAAATTTGCTGATGACACCAAAATAGGCCGTCCAGTTCATTCTAATGACGACATTAGAGCACTCCAGGATGATTTGAATAGACTGATGCAGTGGTTGGAGAAGTGGCAGATGCAGTTTAATATAGACAAATACAAAGTTCTGTATGATGGACAGGAAAATAACCATGCCACATATAAATTAAATAATGTACTATATCTTAATATTACTGATTGCAAAAAGGATTTAGGAGCTCTGGTTAGCAGTAATCTGAAACCAAGAAAACAGTGCATAAGTATTTGCAATAAAGCTAACAGAATCCTAGGCTTCATATCAAGAAGTATAAATAATATAAGTTCTCAGGTTGTTCTTCAACTCTATATATCTTTGGTTAGGCCTCATTTAGATTATGCTGCTCAGTTCTGGTCACTGTATTATAGAATGGATATAAATGCTCTGGAAAACGTACAAAGTAGGATGACGAAGTTGATCCCATATATCAGAAATCTTCCCTATGAGGATAGACTGAGGGCCCTGAATCATCACTTTCTAGAAAGGCGTAGAATTAGGGGGGATATGATTGAGGTGTATAAATGGAAAACAAGAATAAATGAAGGGGATGCCAACAGCGTGCTAAAAATATCTAGCCTAGACAGGACTCACAGCAATGGATTTAAGTTGGAAAAATTCAGATTCAGGAAGAATATGGGAAAGCACTGGTTTGGTAATAGAGTTTTGGATGAGTGGAACAAACTCCCGAGTACCATCATAGAAGCTAAGACGTTGTGTGGTTTTAAAAATAGGTTAGATAAATACATGAATGAGTGAAAGTGGGGTGAGTTGGACCTGACTAGCTTGTGCTACTAGGTCAGATGCTGTTCTCCTTGCTGACCTGACTAGGTCAGGGCATTGGCTTAAGCCAGTAGGAGACTTGGACCTGCCTCGCATGGGCCAACAGGTCTGCTGCAGTGTTCCTTGTTTCTTATGTTCTTATGTACTGTATAGAAAGACCCTTGTTATGCAGAGCATTTTGGGAAAATTAGGTGAGTTTTGTCCTAGGATGCCACCCATACCAGTCGGCTATCACCCAGGTACCCACGTTACTGATGGGAAACACAGACAACTGGTATAAAGAAACATGCCCATTGTTTCTACCCTCGCTGGGAATTGAACCCGGACCCTTGCCGTGTGAAGCAAGAGCTTTAGCTACCAGGCCACAGGGCACCATGGCTATCTGCATGATTTGTGTAACAATGTTAAATCTTAATAGTATTTTGCCTCTTCTTTTATTTTTAATACATTTTCTGTTTCTCACCAAGGCAGGGTAATAAAGAAAATGTTGACTCATTCTCTAGCTGTTTCCAGAAACGTATTGATATTACACCTCAGATGATCCACTAAGCTGTAACATCACACCCTTTCTTTGAGAATGCTGCCACATCACACCCCTTCTTTGAGAATGCTGCCACTGTATATTTTCCACATCCTCAACTTGAATCTGATTAACATGTTTTTCCTGAATCCCTTTAACACTTTAGCAGTATTTGGTCTTGAAAAGGCTTAATCAGCATTTACACTTTATTATTTTGGACACACCGGCATCTCCGACCATGGCAGCATGGCTCAAAAATGAAGATACCTTCAACACCACTCACCTTTATCACTGTCTTGCCATAGGCATGCCAACATTACAACTCCAATGCCCCCCATAACTACAGTATTCCTGCCCTTACTTCAGAGTGCATGCACTGTACTTCTTGCTTCCAGGACTCAAATCCAGCTAACTGGTTTCCCTGAATCCCTTTGTAAATGTTTCCATCCTCACACTCCAACAGCATGTCAAGTCATAAAAACCACTTGCATTCATTCACTCCTAACACACTTGCACATGCCTTACTTTCAAAACCTACTTTACTCACTCCCTCCTAACTTTCCTGGGATGACCCCTAACCCTCTTTCCTTTCACAAAAATTTTATACACCATTTAAATCATCCTGTTTTGTGCCATCCTCTGTAAATGTTCAGACCACCACAACCACATACAAGACTGGTATAGAGCACCAAGAAGATGAAAATTAGACACATGTGCAACATCTTTCTTGCAAACATTTCACCGACCAGTAGCTTTATCAATACAAATTCATGGACATAATTGGAAGACAGTAAAACTATATACAAAAAATGAGGTAATCAATCCCTCGGCCTTGGAGTTGGTGAAGAGTAATGTAGTCATGGAGTGTCTGAAACACAGGTAAAGTTAGCTGGTGCTTATATACTGATGTCAGGTGGTGAGAGACATGTATGAGATGAAGACAGAACACACAGGCACAACACAAGGCACAAAACTCTCTTTGACATCCCTTGTGCCCATCTCACCCTATGCAAAAATGCAGTGCACATAAAGAGCCTTCAGATATGGAATTCATTACTTGAACCAGTAAAAGGTCCTCTCTCTGTCAATCAGTTTAGGGCTATACAGTGGACGCCCGGTTTACGATATTATTTCATTCCAGAAGTATGTTCAGGTGCCAGTACTGAACGAATTTGTTCCCATAAGGAATATTGTGAATTAGATTAGTCCATTTCAGACCCCCAAACATACACATACAAACACAATTACATAAATACACTTACATAATTGGTCGCATTGGGAGGTGATCGTAAAGCGGGGGTCCACTATAATTAAAAAAGTCTTATCTCCCAAACTTAATTATACCAACACATAGTAAATCATTCAACCAGTCTGAAATTACTTAAGAAATCTCAAAAAATTTAGAACAACTAGATCTATGTAAAATATTAATACACTCTTAAAATTGTACTTGTAACAATGTAAATTTTACTGATTGTAATACTGTTATTTTTTTTACTACTTCTCCACCATAATCTTAATTATAATATTTTGGCTAGCTCCTTATTATAATAGTGAATAATTAAAATGTACCACTCCATAACCCATGTCTAGTTTTAACTAGTCTGAAGCATTGATTAGTCTGCCCAAAATACTCAGGCATGTTAGTGGCTTTCTTTGTACTTAACATTTTATAAAATGTAAATTACACATTGTAATCTTTGCAAAGAAATAAAAATATGTATTTGTAAGACATCCATCTTCTTTTTCATTCATAACATTTCACAAACAACTCAACTTTTTCTTATCATACATACTACATCCATTCACATTGAAACATCCCAATTTTAAAATGTTCTTTTTTAAAATTAGTAATTTATACAGGAGAAGGGCTTATGAGCTCCTTGCTCTCAATGTTTTAGTCACCTATGACACATATGGCTTATGAAGGAAGGATTCTTCTACACTTCCCTACGATACGTACATGCTTTAAAAGACTATGAAGTATTGCTCATGATTCACACACTGACACATGCACATTATTAATAATGCAGTACTTTCACATTATGTGATGAGTTATTGATTATATTTTTACCATTTCACAAACCTGCTTACAGAGACCAGTATATATGAATTGATAGTCCTACCATAATTGAAATGTTAACATTGCATTGATGACTTTTACATACTAATATGTAAACTGTACTGTCCTCAGTATTATTAAATTTTTTTGTGCACTTGCTCAGTCTTAGATGATCACTGTTTTGTTAAGTTTGTGATATTTTTTTACTTCAGATATGTGATGGGAGAAAGCATTGCCTCAGTGGTGATGATGAAATGGATTGCAAGTCTCGCCCTTGCCCACCTGACCGGCCACATAAGTGTGGAGATGGCACTTGCGTGACTTCAGCTCCACCTTGCGATGGCGTTCAGCATTGCGGCGATGCATCCGATGAAATAAACTGCACTCATACAGAGGAAAAAGATTTAGATGAAGGCTCATACACTGAGAAAGATACTGATTATGACTATGACGATAATGAATATGAAGATAATGAGTATGTTTACATAACAGAAAAGCCAGTACCAAAAACGACAACAACAACAACCCTTCCACCACCCATTATTGAGGCTGGGGAGCCGGATGAGACTCCACTTCCACCACTCATTAATGATCCAGATGAGACTCACATTGACCCTGTTGAGCCTGATTCATATGACATTTTAGACCCTACGACGACAAAGAGTTGGAGGAACCAGCAGATAACACTCCTGTGCACAGTCATGATGTAGATGATATAACAAGTGATGTAGATGCTGCTAAGCACGATGATGAAGAGGATGATGATAATACCGAGACTGACGAAACTAACGCTGAAACTGTGGAAACTATTTTCAAAGAAGTAGAACCTGCTGCTTCAAGTGAGCAAGGTGTATCATCAGCTCTATGTGTTGCACCAGTTTGTACACTCATTATAGCACCCATGTTTGTTATCAGTTTCAGACATGTGTGGACAAGGTGAAATTCAGTGGGTTGAGTGACTCTTTTGATCTGCAACTAAGGCTGAGATGCTGAAAGGATGAAGTAGAAGATATGTGAGGGCAAGTTTTTATTGTGAAAATGGTTTGCTCTTTGTGAAGAGCATTATCAAATCTTAAAGACTTCATAAAGCTCTGTACAAAACAGAATACTGTCACAGTTAAAGCCTGCTTTGTATGCAGTATGTGCCTTCTACTCCATCAGTAACGAACTTCATTGTAGAGGCTATATGCGACTCATTTGCCACGAAAGTATTAGATACCTTAGGAATGTTCCTAAGTAGCCCCAGATGTTCATTTTCTTATGTATCTGATGTGAATAGTGACACATTACATAAAACTTACTTTGACCTTATATAGGGTAAATCAAAATGCCCATTAATGAACACAGTCGTACACCATATATGAGTCTGCAAGTTTGAAAAAGCAAGTTTGTATTGCATTTGTATCTTGTCAGTGAACGTAACCCTTTTCCTTTTTTTTTTAATGTGTGTATTGTGTACACCAAAATGTGTATGTGAAATTTTTTGTACTATATAAAATGAAATTGGACAAGAAAACTTATAAGAATTATAGTGAATGTGTGTGTGTATATATGTACATGTATGTAAGCCAAACCAGCTAATTAGGCCTGAAAAGTAAGGGTCCTTTTATGCTGAATAAGCAGGTTTATGCTATAAATCTAGAAAAATCAATCTGAATAAAAAATATATAATTGATTTTAACTGATATATCATATATTTAGAAGAATTTGGCTTAAAAAACAATTGTTAAGTTAGGTAAGGTTTGTAAGTTAAGTTTGGTCAAAAAATTAAAATTTTTACATCATTGTCAATAAAAAAATGTATCTATTAATCCATAAAGAATTTTTTTGGGGGGAAAAAAGTGCAGTTTTTAAGGGAGTTTGGTGTATTTGGCAAGTTTGGCTTATTAGTCAACCAACACACACACGCATATTCATTGCCTGCTTTGCAGCATTTTGTAAAAAGATTCATGCCATTCCCAGTTATTAATGCATAATTTTATTATTATTATTATTATATATTTTATTATTATTATTATTATTATTATTATTATTATTATTATTATTATATATTTTATTATTATTATTATTATGTTAATTGTGTTTCACATCACATTTAACTAAAAATCTTGACTATATTTTTATATTTTTTGTGAACACATTTCATTAAATACGTAATTCCTATAACCAGTGTGCTGGATTTACCGGTTATTGAAGAATGTGAGTATTGTCCACAGCAGCACTGTAAGAGTCTCAAATACCAGTGCAAGCAATATATCTTTTTTTTTTTTTTTTCCAACAAGTCGGCCGTCTCCCACCGAGGCAGGGTGACCCAAAAAAGAAAGAAAATCCCCAAAAAGAAAATACTTTCATCATCATTCAACACTTTCACCACACTCACACATTATCACTGCTTTTGCAGAGGTGCTCAGAATACAACAGCTTTGAAGCATATACGTATAAAGATACACAACATATCCCTCCAAACTGCCAATATCCCAAACCCCTCCTTTAAAGTGCAGGCATTGTACTTCCCATTTCCAGGACTCAAATCCGACTATATGAAAATAACCGGTTTCCCTGAATCCCTTCACTCCAACAGATCGTCAGGTCCCAAGTATCATTCGTCTCCATTCACTCCTATCTAACACGCTCATACACGCTTGCATATATAATGTAACACAGAACTGTACAATGGTATCCAAAGAATAGAAGAACTCTGGGAATTTGATCTGATACCAAAGTTGTCAAACTTGTGAGGAATCTAGTTTCGGCTGAAGCTTTTTGAGAATTTAATACATTCAGCTCTCTTATAAAGCTCCTTTTTATGGTATGACTTATAGGGGTTTGCCAAGGTACTGGCATCGACTTAAAACTGAGCATCGGTTTTGAGGTATTGGTAGATATCTGATAATTTTGATATCTCTGTTGGTGGTGTCAGTATTGGAATCGGTGTAAAAACTGAGTATTAGTGTTTGCAAAAATTTTGGTATTGTCCCTTCTCTAGCGATTTATTTGTAAATGTGACTGAAAAAGCCCATCAAGACAGAATAGGATATGGAAAGGTCTTTAGATCATGTACTGTTTAATTTTAAAAACATTTTTTCAGCTACATTTACAGAACAATAGCACTGTAGAGAATAGCTTCATAAGAGAGTGTATACAGTAATTAGTTGATAAGGAGAGGTGATATTTATCTGAGGAAAAAGGGAATAATTTACTAACCTCGTCTTGTACCAACTGTATGCCTCATATGGGTTCAGTGTTTTAACTCCAATTACTTATAATAATTGACTCGTACCAGGACGCACTGCTTAGTTATACTCTATATAAAATTTATATCTGTTTTAAAACATGTACTATTTAATTTTATTATTAAAATAAGTTAGAAGGTTGTCAAATAAATTTTTGTCATCATTTATTATTGTCATTATTTTATTATTTTGCCATGGAAAAGTGCTAAACCTGTAGGGGTCATACAGTACCTGGGATATTGGAAGCAATCAGGTTGGGGGGGGGGAATGGAGAATATTTCCAGTTCCTTGGATCAAGAGCCCTTCACCAGCATCGAAGCACACTCCTCCCCTTCTTGAAAGGGACTCTCCATTTGCCATATCAAGTGGAATCACAGTGAAGTCAGGTGCAGTCGCAGTGAAGTCAGGCGTGGTCACAGTGAAGCCAGGTGCAGTCACAGTGAAGTCAGGTGTGGCCACAGTGAAGTCAGGAATGGTCACAGAGAAATCAGGTGTGGCCACATTGAAGTCAGGTGCAGCCACATTGAAGTCAAGTGTGGCTACAGTGAAGTCAAATGCAGTCACAGTGAAGTCAGGGATAACACATTTTAGTTGTGGTATACTCTCCTTTCTGGTGGAATGATTCATAAATAACCCACAGATTATATGATGTTTTGGGCCATCCTGGATTATTAAGTTGTGACTGGACAATGATCTGGTATAGACCGAAATGTCATCTGCAGTTTCCTCTCTAAATTGTGGGTTGTTTGTAAGTCGCAGCTACTATTGCGTGACTTGTATTCGTTGAGGTGGAATGATCATTGATGTGCATACAGATAGTCAGCACCCAGTAGTTTCCCAACTTTGTAAGTCATGTGTGAGTAACTTTACTCTCTCTGTGGTCTTGTGAGTAACTTCTCTTTAGTGATTTTGTGAGTAGCTTCTTTCTCTACAGTTTTGAGTAACTTCTCTCTCAAAAGTCTTGTGTATCGCTTTACATCTAAAGTCTGAGTTTAACATTTTGAAGTTCTGAACCTGAATAAATTACATATACAGTGGAACCTCAACTTGCAAGTTCCCCAACATACAAGTTTATCGAGTTACAAGCCGTCACTCAGTCAATTTTTTGCTCTGAGTTATGAGCCAAAATCCGAGTTATGAGCTAGCTTCAGAACGCCACCAATAGTTGTTGCAGCGAGTGCCACAGCATCCGCTCAGCATTGCACATGTTTACCTCATCGTGGAAGCATTTCTGTTGTGTTGTGCTTGCATTTTGTGCAGTTATTTTGCCAACTTTCTTTTTTCTAAAAATGGGTCCTAAGAAAGTAAGTGCAAAGAACAGTGCTGAGAAGAAAAAGAGGATAATGTCCATTGAATTAAAAGAAAGAAATCATAGATAAACACGAGCGAGGTGTGCGGGTTGTGGACTTGACCAGGCAGTACCAGCGTAGTACTTCTACAGTATGTACGATACTAAAGCAGGAGGAATCGATAAAGGCTATAGCACCAACCAAGTGATAAAGTGTAGCATTAAGAGTGTAGCAAGTAGCCTATCTTTTTCGCCCTCCACCTCCGCCAGCATCTGCTCTCCAAGGCAAATACGTACACTTTGTAAAACCAGTTTATTTCTTTCCATTCTCTATTAAAAATAGGTTGGATAAATACAAGAGTGGGTGTGAGTTGGACCTGACTAGCTTGTGCTACCAGGTCTGGTGCCATGCTCCTTCCTTAAGTGGAAGTGACCCGACTAGGTGGTCATTGTTCTAAGCCAGGGGGTGGCAAGGACCTGCTTCGCATGGGTCAGTAGGCCTGTTGCAGTGTTCCTTCTTTCTTATGCTCCTATTGTGTTTTATTATATTTTGAACAATATTTTTTATTTATAAGTACATTGTTTCAGTTTTCCTTATGAAACTAGTGATCTAGTGCAGTTAGCCTCACAAGCACTCCCTTTTCAGAAGGGGAAGAATGGGAAGATATGGTCAGAGCAGGAACAGGAGTGGCCACCATCACTCGTCACATAATGACATATTTTATTCATTTTGGAGTATATATCATGTTTCTATGTTATTTATATTGTTTATTATGTCATATTAGATCAATTGTGATAGATAATTAAGCATTATATTGAAGTATTTTCTCCTACCTCCCGAGAGCAGGAATTCTGCTGGAACAGATTAATGGCATTTCAATTAATTTCAATGAGGAAAATTGATTTGATATATGAGCAAATTGAGTTACAAGCTAGGTCATGGAATAGATTAAACTTGTAAGTCAAGGTACCACTGTACATATACTTATTAGCAAAGAGAAATATATGTAAAATATATTGTACAATATTACTTAAAATATTTTTTTCCAATACTGTATATCTTTTTACTTAAGGTTGAAACTATTGCTTTGGTGTGCAGTTTGACCATCTTTTTGTCTTCAGAAATACATGTATGATAATTTCTATTATTGTACATATTATTAGGTCTTCCTGAGCCATTATTACAACAACTGTGAACTAAATTCTGTGTATGTTAAATATTCCTGGTTGAAAGAGGGTCAAAGAGTAAGTCACAATGACGATGATCACTGAAATTATCGTCATTTAGACCTCAGGTAAGCTATACCATCTGCAGTGCAGGATAAGAGCCACTTCTTAACCTCAAATTTTTTTTTGCAGACCCATGTGGTAATACAAAAATTTTAATTTAGGCTCCGTCAGTTTAAGAAAATAAGCAATGACAAAAAGTCTTAGGAACTCAGTAATGCTTTGTGTGTTCCTTGCAATAAGTCAGTGGCTCCCCATAGGTCTGTAGTTTCTAAGATGAGATCCACTTCTCTAGACCATGTAGCTTCATCCGTTCATAATAAGTAAGTGTCAATCAGAAAATTTGTACAAAACATCATACTGATATAATGGCAATGAAATAAGGATGTAAGTATGTATATATTTAGAACACTGTCCTTTTATATGATATACATACAGCTTTGTCTCGATTAGTGTGGATTTCAGTTTAGTGCAAAGTTAATCAATGATAGTTTTTCCCCCTAATTTGAATACGTAGTGCGAATTTTAATAATACAACCACCTCACGGGATGCATTATTTGCACTAATCAAGACAAAGCTACATGGGTTTTATACCATTTATAATTAGTTGAAAAAGGTTGTCCATATTCACACTTTCAATTGCTTCATTTTGACTTAATACCAGATACAGTTGCTTGAAAACAGTATGGTTATATCTTGGTTACATTCAGCTGGAAGTAAACCTGATTTTAACTTTATGCATCTGTTGATATTTTTGGTTGTTACTTCTGACAGCTGTGGTCACATGAGCTGCAGTTACCAACAGCCTGATTGGTCAGAAATCATACTACAATTGTTGGATGGAGACTAGAGCCTCCACCACTCCTTTTGCAGAATGACTCATGTTTAATGAAAAACAGTACAGCAATGCAGTCTCATGATGCTAGTGTCACATACATTATATATTGCTGTTTACCTGCTGATAATAAACCACAGAATGGGTGGGATTTGAACCCCTGTCAAGTGAGTCCTAAAATTCACAGGCCAGTGCCTTAACCACTTAGCCAGTTTGCAGTCATGTTATGACTTCAAGAGTCATAAAGTGCTGTTGATAACAGCCTGTTTACTCTGCAGGTAAAAGCTGTTATGAATACAATTCATAAAGCTGTGTAGAAACAGATTCACAACCTACAAATGGGAGATAAATCTCTATATGACATTTTGGCCCACAACAGACTGAAACATTGGATTAGTTGTGAGTTGTTCCAGCTGTGTTGTACTGATTTTTTTCTTTTTCATTGATAGTTTAAGCTCACTAAAGCAAGATGTAGTTATCATGTGACCATGTGTATTACGCTATGATGAAAAATTTTAAACTGTAAGAATCTGTACAAATACACTGATATTTTTTATTAATTTTAAGTATTTTATTGAGTGTTCTAATTTAAAATTAATTGATATATACTGTGAGGAGTAATGTTTAGGACATTACAAAAGTAACTGCCACAATATTGTTTCTTTTACATTACTAGTATTTATTTAAGGCAGCAGTCTGCATTAAAAAAAAAAAATTACTTAAAATAATACGCAGGTACAACATCAATTTTCCGGATACAGATGGTCCAGAAACTCTTATAATTCATACATATTTACGAGCAGGAACTTGACATTCCCGCAGCAGTGTATTTACCACCCAAGTGTGTCACTTATCCAACCCCAAGACCAAGGAATACTGCACTCTCTGAAGGCAGAAAACTCAGTAATTCGGAAAGACTTTGGAACCAAAGGGTCTGAAAAATTAATGTTGTACCTGTGCCCTATATGTCACACGTATGTGTGTCTGTAAGCAATGAAAAGAAATGTATAAAAATCAACTATGAGGATACTAGTGAAAAAATTTGTAACTTATGTGGAAAGTTATAAAAATTTCACCTGCTTCCTAATATTTCATAGCTGTTTGATATTTTGAAATTGTTAAGCTAGTGAGGATAACTGTAGGAGAGATTGATATTTCTGGTGCTAAAGCTTCACTTTGTACATTGTAATTTGTAGGATGCTGTGGGATTAGATATTGTCATTGTTGTTAAAGTGTCTGTTGCATTACAGTCATTTTTATCACACTTAGATTTGACCCTAATCTTCACTAAACAAGATACAAGTTTTTTCAACATCATGATATTCAGTAATGAAAGTTAAAATTTTTTTTTTATAGCATTTGTACATTGTGGTCTTGCTGTTACATAAATGAAATATTTATGAATGGTTTGCGCAAAGATATAATATAAGTAAGACAAGATGAGAGTATGGATGGGCATTTTGTAAAAATAAATATAAATATAAAGACTCTCAGATAAGTATGAAAAATAATTTGAAACCATATTTTTTTAATATAGTGATAATTGTGCTTTTTTTTTTTTTACTTGACCAGATTATTTAAATTTACTAATGTTGCATTAATTTATATAGTAGTATACTACTTTGCCAAGCCATATTTGACACCACGTTCAGTGACTTTTTTTGGAAACTACTGAACAGCAAAGAAAATGTCAGACATCTCTGGCCCTCTGTTGCTCGTACATCTGCTGGTGTCACAACAAGGTCATGTGATCAAAATAATGCCTTATTAGAAGTACTATACTGGCCTTCCAAATGTTTTGATAACTTATTAAATGTAGCTTCACATTTAAGTGTGTTAACATTCACATATGGTACTCACACACATGGAGGGACACAGATTTCACTGTTATAAGTAGTGACATTATAGGTACTGTATTGAAAATTTTGGGCTTAAATTAAAAGTAAAAATATCAGTATCACGAATCTCCATGCTATACCCCCGTACTGTATATAACAAATAATTTATTATTTTATTTCCTGTGTTCTACAAAGTTAACAAAAATGAATTACAAATACTGTACAGTAACAAGAACACACATTTTAAGAGATTTTTATTCAGTTATTATGAAAATTATTATCAACTTTGTTATAAATATGTAGATTCTTTTTTTGTATATGCTACTTTAGCTTTCACATGTATGGTGCTTTACGATGAAGTCAAACTGCCATTGGTAATATTTATTCCAACCCAAAACTATCTGACATTGATAATGCAGAAAGAGTGGCAGAGGGGTGATTATGTACATAGTGTATAGTGACTCCTTTAAGCCTTAACCTTAATAGTTCAACATGTATTACATAATAAATGTATTGTAAAAATACAGACTTTGTTATACCCTTTTTGATATATTTCTGAAAATACTTTAGAGTAAATTATCTGATGCAGTACATTCCGATATTAAAGTTACTGTTAGTTTTGGGGATCGTGGCTTTTGCCCTCCCCCACCCTCTTCCCAAAGACCAGGCCTTTACAAAACCTGCACGGAAAAAAAACCTATGAAACATTTTGATTGACCGGGCCCTTTAAGGGTCCAATTGGACCAAAACGTCTCCTAATTTTTCTTTCTCTTTGGGCGGGTTATTTGTGTATTTTTCCAGTCACATTTTGTTTTTTTTGTTTTTTAGCCTTCTTAATTGCAAATTAAATATTCCCTTAAATAATTACAGTATTAAAAACTCTAAGAAAATGCATGTTCATACTGAAGAAGTGAAGTTTAAGTTTTACCTCCATTTTATCTTTCGAGTCTTATATTTTATAACAAAAAACACAAAACCCAAAAGGGTTTTTACGGAAGCGGGGCAGGGAAGGATGCAAGGGAAATGGGTAGTAAAGGGAAGGGATAAATTATTAGGTTATGAAGTGTGCGGGCAGTGGATGTGCAGGGGTAGAGGGTAGTAGGGTTAAGGTGGAAAGGGCTGGAAATGCCAGAGACATCACATCAGAGTTTGTGTAGAAAATCATTTGTTAAAAAGGCAATGGGAGCCCGGGTTTAAAAAGGGGGTCCGTGCAAAATGGAAGGTAAAAAAATTTGCAGAAAGGCGGAGATGATGTAGGAGGTAAACTCTGCATGCTCGTTGATAAGTGGACAGTCCAGCAAATTGGGGCTAACCGTACGGGAACAACAATTTCACAGAGAGGAACGGGACGCCCTCCATGAATCCCGGAGTAAGACAATGTGGCGGCGAAGACGGGAAAAGAAAGTCTCCCAAACCCTTGACAAAGCAAGAAGAGGCCAAAACCTTACTCCTTAACAAAAAATTTTGTTAGGAGCAGATCAGCCCAAACATTGTTGCTAATGGGTCAAAAAGGGGTTAAAATTTACGCAAAAAATCTTAAAGGGAAAACCTTAATGAAACGGGGAGTTCATATATGCTGATCATGCACAGTGCCCTGCCTGTTCTTCCCCCCGTTTTTAAACAACCAGGGCCCCACAAAAAACAATACCCCTCTGTTTTTGCTAGAGATAAGTTTAACCAAATTGGATAAAAGAAAAAGGGGGGGGTGTAAAAAATTTTTTGTTGTTTTTGGTGCGGGGGTTTGTGTGTGCACAAGAATGGCATAAAAATTTCAGCTGTAAAAATGCTAGCGGGGGTAATAAATCCCCTCACACGACACTGTCCGGAAACACGCTGCAAATCCAAAGCCTCAGAAGACTTAGAACTATCTGTACACTGTGAAGCTGGAATGAGAGGGGAATGTTCAAAAAAAGAAGCGGGAAGCCACCAAGGTAGTTGGCTTTCACGCATGCATGGAAAGAACAACACAAAAGCTGGAACTTCCCAAGGGATAGGGGAAGGCTACATAAACATAGAGAGGTGGTAACTGAAGAGAAGGACATGTACGGGAGAAAAGAGAGAAAGGGGGATGAACAAATAAAAAGTTTACTAACATATGACTATCCATATAGGGAAGGGTTGAAAGGGGTCATGGAACAAACATTAACAAAGGGCAATGAGCATCACATGTTCACACAAGGAGGAAAATAGCCTTTTAAAAGAGGCTCTAAACGGGGTACGAACGAAAGGCATAAAGGGGCACAGAGGGAAACCGGGTAAAGAATAGATCTAACTTGAGTTGCGGGAGAACCGCAGAAAATCGGTCACCATAATCTAGCTGGGCAAGACTAGGTAATGAAAACTGAGGGGGCGATGATCTGCTCCCCATGAAGATGTGAAGGACCTTAAAGGATATTTAGCCGACCATGGAAATTTGTCTTTAAATGAAGAATTGAGTTTTCCCACACACCGGTGGTCAAAGAGCGGGCCCCAAAACCCGCCCCGTATCAATTTCGGAATATTTAAAACTGTTAAGCAAAAGGGGAGTATCCGGATAACAGGGGTCTAGTGAAGGAAAAATTTGAGTTTTGTGTGGAAAATTTAAAGCATAAAATGGTCCAATGGAACTCGGCTTCACACCTAAAGAGGGGCCACTACTAGTCACAGTCACCCCCAGAAAGCTATAGCAAAGTCATCACATAAGTGATGCCCAAAATATTCAAAAAAAAAAGGAAGTGGTCTTATAGCTAAAAAAAAATAGTTGTACTGGGAACAGCCTTGTGGGACTCCTTCGCTTGTAAAAAGTCCGAGGAAAGCGGGGCCCAATAGGGCCCCCAAAAATGTCATTGGTGGGTTTTAGACGCAAGAAATGAGGGAAAAGGGGTGAAGCCTGGAAGATAGGACAAATTTCCCTTTTTCTGTGGCAATTCAAAGGGTCTGTGAATAACTCCACACCCCGCAAATGGGAGCTGGGCCCAGAGCGTACTTACATGGGTTTACATGGAGAAGAGTTGGGGGGTCAACGCCCCCGGCCCCGGGTCTGTGACCAGGCCTCCTTAGTATGCCCCAGGTTTCCACCCACCCCAGTCGACTAACACCCAGGTCCCCATTTTACTGAGGGGGAAATAGAAAACGGGTGAAAGAAACAGCCAATTTTCTATCGGGCTGGGAACGAACCCAGCCCTCCCGTGTGAAGCGAGAGCGTAACCACCGGCCCCAGCCCCCCCAACTTACCACACAATTTCTACACCTTTTTTTCCAAAATTGCGACAAGGGGAAGAAAAGGGTAATGGAGACACGTAGTCTCCCAACAATGTGCTTAGCATCGCGTATGACGGACCCCCTTAAAACCCAAAAAATGCTCGGGGTACTTTTTTCATAAGGGCCATGCAGCACTTTTAAACCCGTGCCAGCGCATGTAGGAGACCCCCCAAAGTTGCATGTTGAGAATGCCTTTGGGGTTTGGGGGGCTAGAAGATCGCCAAAAGTCAGACAAGGTCAAAATTGGGCCCCCAGTTCAAAAAACACAATGGGGCCTCCAATGGGTGGTAAGACGGAAATAAAATTCCCAATTGCTTGGCAAATTGCAACGAGGGTTACGAAACGGACAGGTATAGGGTACAGAAGTAAGAAAGGATAGGAAAGTGATCTTTATCATGTAAATCTGAAGAAAAACCACAGAAACAAGTGCGTGGGGGAGGGAAAAGAAGAACGTCCCAAACAGGAGAGAGACTGATACAAGAGTCAAAAAGGGGAGGAGCCCGGATTTAAAACATAAGAGGATGGGAACGAGAAGATCTCCAAGATCATACGAGAGTCGCAGTGGGGCCCCCCCCACGGGGGTGGTGACCCCAAAAGCAAAATGGGTGGCGGGAAGAGGAAATTAAAAGCATGTTCAAGATACACAATGCCCAAGGGGGGAGAAAGAAAGAAGCAAAATGTAAACCCTCTGTATAAATAAATCCGAGCTGCTATAATGCAGTGGGGGGAAAGAATAAAAACTTGTTGATATGGATATAAAGTGCACAAAAGCCATTTTCATTTAAAAAATTTGTCAGGGAAAGGATCTGAAGAAAAAATAGCTGTAGCCCAAAATGGGGGGAATGATTCAGAAAAGAAAATTTTTGGCTCTTGCAACCCAACACATATGGGGGCAATTGCCCCTAGGGCCCCTAATATTCCCCTTGTAAAAAAGACATTATTACAAAATAAAATTGGCAACAAAAAACAAAAAAAACCTATGGGCATTAGGATTTGAAAAAACAAAATGGGGGGTTTGGGGAATGGAAGCATGTAAGCAAGGAGGGTGTTTTTGGGGGAAAGATTGTTCCCGGGGCGTGAAAAGAAGGGGGAAGGGAGTCCCAGTGTCCACGGAGGGGTTTTTCGCAGATAGCTGGAATAGCTCTTCCCTTCATCGTTAAAGGAGCCGACGAGCCAGATGTCAGAGACAGGAGGGACATTTCAAGGGAAGGTCGGAGGAACTACAGAATAACCAAAAAGGCTGAGGGGGGGAAAGGGGTATGAACCTGGAAAGATGCATGGGTGGGGGAAAGAAGCCGCGTGTAATAGGAAGGAGGAGGGTTGGGGGTAACTATAGAGGAAGTCAGGGGGGGGGGACAGGAGAAAGGGGGGTTACACGAGGGGGGAGGGGGCCCTCACCTTCGTAGAGGCTGGAGAAAGGGGAAAAACGAGGGCCCCAGGCATGAGATTATTTTGGGGAGGGGATGGACTGAAGAAAGTGTAGGCTGCGAGGTTTCATAGAATGAAAGCAAGCGAGGAGTAAGAAAAATAGAAATAGGAAATGGGGTGGGGGAGGATGCAGAGGATAAAAACGCAAAATAATTAAAACGGGGGGGACCCCCAAAACACAGACCAAGGGAAAGAGAGGCAGGAGACCGTCGAGGGTTTGGGGGTTTTTCGGGGAACCCCACATACAGACAGAGGGGGGTTTCCTTGATGGGGAGCTGAGAGACAGCCATGTGTAAGTGAGGCCCTCAATCCCAAGAAACAGACTCTCGTTTATTACGATAACCCTGGCAATGGGGTAAAAGGGAAAGGGATTATTATTTTTATAACAAGGGGGAAACGCTAAACCCCGGGGGATTATACCCGGGGGCCTGGGGGGGGGAGGAAAGGGATTCAGGGTTTAAATTTAGGGCCCCTGCATTAAGACAAGAGGGGAAAACTACACGATGTTGTGTACAATGGTTACAAACCGACAAAATGAGATTAGACACATGTCAAATCTGGGTATCTTTTTTGTAGACGTTTGTAAGTAAGTAAGTAAGTAAGTAAGTAAAATTATCAGGGATTCACAAACAGTTCATAAATTATCATACATAGCGCAAGTGAGAGAACCCAGGGTAACCCAAAAAAATCAGACAGAGTGACTTATTTCCATGGGGTCATAACTTAAGACAGTAGAACTATGACAAAGATGAGGAATCAGTCCCAACCCAGAGTAGGTGCAAGAGCATATAGTCGTGGAGATTCTGAACAGAAAAAGGATCCTGGCGCTTTATATGTAACGTCAGGTGAGAAAC